TTTTTTTTCACTGCAGAGCTACCAGACGTGGTTTAAGTTAATTATTAAATTTCCCCTGTGCTTTCCATACGTCTGGGTAAAAATTGGTAATCAACAGGAGATTCTAAATGACTTGCAAATGTTTCTCTACCCGAGTTTCTCGAGGTTAAAGTCTTAAAGTTTTAAAAAAATAAAGCAGAATTGACTTCTGGAGAAATGTTCAAGTTGTATTTCATGGTCTAAAGTCATGCCAAATTGGGTCTAGAGACTTTGCGGCACGCAATAGCAGAATTTTATTCAAAATGTTAGGGACCAAGTAAGTCCTAGAAGGTTTTGAGGCCCAGATGTCATTTGGGAAAATTCAGAAAAGCTGCAATTAAAAATAAAAGACGATGTAAGTTTGAAGCAGTTCATATAAGTTGGTAAGAAGATAGAAATAAAGATAGGCGCTCGGGATATTACTGGTTAGGACAAATCCCGAAAAGATAAAGATAAAGACAACCATCTTCTGCGCAAATACATTTGCAAGTATTCTTACTGGTAGGTTCTTTTTCGAATACAGCAGGTCCACAGTACTGCCCACTTAGCATTACCTAGAAATACAGACAAACGCCTAGATCATATTTATGTTACCACCTGCCATAACTGCTAGTTATTTGGCTCTTCAGCGGCTTCTCCAGAGACCCTAGTTTCATTTCGGCATATATGTGCTGTTAATCAGCTGTCAGTCAGCTGTCACCCACCAATTTTCTCAGTCAAATTTCGTCGCTGACCATAATTACTGATTTGCTGTGCAATTTTTTACAATTTCCCTCATTATTGTCAGGAAATATTAGCAAAATTCACTGCAAGAGGTTTTGCACAAAAAACCACATTCAGTACGCTGGAAGTGAGCTGATGGACCGAGTTATGAATTGGCGACTTTAGCTGAAGTTGGTGAATTACTCAACATCTTAAATTACTGGGTACTCGTTGGCATACTTTGCAGGTAAACGAGACTCTTGTGCTAAAGTTGAAGCATTTCGAGTCCTGCATTTGCATCACTTTTAAATTTCCATCTGAAAGGGCTTATGAACACATGTTTAGAATATACACTCACGTTAAATTATAAAAAAATTAATAAACGTATATATGGATATAGATATAAATCTATGAGAGAAATGACAGCCTATACCAGCTTGTTGACCTCCATTGTGTCAAATTGGGATAGTAGCAAATAAAAGCCTTCTTTTGTTTCGTTTGGCACAGTTTTTGGGTATCGGTTTTTAAATGTGAAGTCCTTTAGAATGTAATGTTATGCAAGGATTTCTACAAAGAACTAAAAGGTCGCTTTGTCTTAACTTTTCGTAAGGAAGCTTTTCCCCGAAGTATATTTGTAATGAGAGAAATCCCTATTCAACGAACGGTTTATCAGTTTGAGCCGCACCGTACTGGCAGATAAGGTGATAAAATAAAAACGAATAATATTTCCAGATCATTTTCTTAAGATGGTGTCCAAACAACTGCCCATGAGATTACGTTAAACAACGCACATCAAAACAAAATAAAGTAGTCAGTTTCAACTATGCAGGCAGGCGAACAATTTGAAGTTTTCTCTCTTGCAGTACAAATCTGTCTGGACGCACAAGGAGATGGGTGGAAGGTTTCTGATCTGCCCACGAAAATGTAGTGTTGACTTATTCAGGACTGACGGAAAATCAGCCCGTGCAGAAATAAACCCTTATATACGAAGTTCTGTAAAAGGATCTCAATTCTAACCATGCGCCATTAGGCAGTATTTTTAAGTGAATTTGCAGAAGTTACAGAATAGACTTCATTAAAATTGAAAAACGTTCTACAGGTTAACAGCGTATCCAATCCAATCGGACTCTGGCGGAATAGGAGACCACGC